GAGACGGAGTCTCGCTCTGTCGCCCAGGCTGGAGTGCAGTGGCACATCTTGGCTCACTGGAACCTCTGCCTCCCGGGTTCAAGCGATTCTCCTGCCTCAGCCTCCTGAGTAGCTGGGATCACAGGCGCCTGCCACTACGCCCAGCTAATTTTTTGTATTTTTAGTAGAGATGGGGTTTTACCATGTTGGCCAGGCTGGTCTCGAACTCCTGACCTCATGATTCGCCCACCTCAGCCTCCCAAAGTGCTGGGATTACAGGCGTGAGCCACCATGCCCGGCCATGTAGTACACTCTCAATATGTACAGACACTTCACAGTGTCTACACAGGAATGAACTCAATAGAATAGAATGTCCCAAGGAGGTGGGTGCGTTTGCTAAGCTCAGCTTTGCTGAAGCACCAGCATTGATTCATTCACTTCAACAAATTAATACCTTACTTAATCAATTAAGTATCTGAATTTTAATTAGTTGTGATTTAGCATTTGTTACTTATCTAGTTATCAAATGAGTTATTTGCCCCTTATCTATTTAATTAAATATCTGATGACTTATTTGTCACTTGTTATTTATCTAAAATAACTGTTTATTATTTGCCATTATAATGGCAATTATATCTTGTCACCCTAAGAGCAGCCCTTAGGATCTCCCTCTAGAGGCCTCACTGACCCCACCCTATCGCCCGCCCCGTCCCCTGGCTCACTCAGGAGCCCGGGCAAGTCACTGCCCCACAATGGGCCTCCGTTTCCCCTCTGCGGAATGGACCTCCCGCTGTCCCTGGCCCAGGGTGGGTGCTGAGGGGCTCAGCACAGGGCCTGATATGTGTCAACTCTGGTGTGCTGTTCAGAGCTCCAGCATCATCTGATTAGAAATGGCAATTATATCTTGTCAATTTAAGGAAATAGTTAATCATTAAGACATTTGAGTGATATTATATTCAATTTACATTTATTTAATATAAACAACTGTATTAGGTAATTTAGATAATAATTCAGTGACTTGGTCAACCCTTTAACAGTCTCAGAGCTCCTGCCTCCTTGCTGTCTCTCCTACTCTGACACAGCACGGGACGAATGCTAGGCATGAAATAAATGTCTGCTGAATGAATGCAGGATGAGTGAAACGCACAAGAACGCAAATGAAAGCCTGAACCAGCGGACCCAAGAGCCCCCAAGGGCAAGGACTGGCTGGCTCTGCCCCTACTAGGGTCCCTACTACCACACTTGGTCTAACCTGGGGAATTCCTCACCCCCAGGCCCCTCCCCCTCACACCTGATCCTCCTCACACCCTGTCCCTTCCCCAGCTCACCCGGCCCTTCTGGAGCTGCTGTCCCCTCCCCTGGTACATGATCCTCTTTGAACCCCATCCCCTCCCCACACACCTGGTCCTCCTGGAGCCCCTGTCCCCTGCCCCTCACACCTGGTCCTCCTTGCACCCCGTCCCCTCCCCATGTACCTGGTCCTCCTGGAGCCCCTGTCCCCTGCCCCTCACACCTGGTCCTCCTTGCACCCCGTCCCCTCCCCATATACCTGGTACTCCTCATGCTGCTGCAGCAGCTGACAGCGGTGGCGGAGAAGCTCCTCCAGGCCCAGTTCTGGCTCCCGACACTCGCGCACGCCCTGCGGGAAGTCTGTCACCAGGCTGTGAGGGACATAAGAGCAACCCTTAGGACCTCCCTCTAGAGGCCTCACTGACCCCACCCTATCGCCCGCCCCGTCCCCTGGCTCACTCAGGCGACCAGAGAAGTCGCTGCCCCACAATGGGCCTCCGTTTCCCCATCTGCAGAACGGACCTCACGCTGCCCCTGGCCCAGGGTGGTGCTGAGGGGCTCAGCACAGGGCCTGATGTGTGTCAACTCTGGTGTGCTGTTCAGAGCTCCAGCATCATCTGATTAGACACTAATTCACTGGTGGGGGCGTGTACAAAAGCCTCTCTCCCTCCCCCAGGCCTCTGTGCCAGCCCCACTGGTGAGGAAACTGCGGCTCCCTGACTCCTACTTCTTTCTGGCCCCACACCCTTCCTCTCCACAGGGAAGGTCCTGACTCCTCAGTCCCTATGGGCTGATTCCTGAGCCACCCCCACCATGGGGCACCCACCCCAGGCCCCATCCTCTCAAGGAGCCAAAGTACCTGCACAGGGCTCCAAGCACGTGCTCGTGGAAGGGGCTGTGCTCTGTCCGCACCAGGGCCACCAGCTGCTGGACCATCCCCATGGAGCACAGGGTCCCTGGCGGGAGGGCTGCAGGGGTCAGAGGGGCAGCCCCACCCATCTCCTATGCCCTCCCTGGGATGCCTGTTCCTCCCCTTCTCCCACACCTGCACCCACCCCAGGGCGTCTGCTCCCCACTCCTGCCCTCACTCAAGGGCTGCCACACCTTTGTGTTCGGGGTGGCCCACCAGCAGGTTCTGCAGCAGAAATGCCGATTTGACCTTGAGCTTCTGCACCTGCTGCTGCATGGCCCGCATCAACACAGAGAAGCCGTCCAGGCGGAGGAACTGCAGCAGCCCAGCCTCCTGCTCTCGGACCAGACCTAGGAGAGGGGGACAGAGTCCTTAACTATCATCACCACTATCATCACGACCACCACCACCATCACCACCATCACCACCATCCTCACCACCACCACCATCACCATCATCACCATCCTCACCACCATCACCACCATCCTCACCACCA